CCCTCTGTTTGCTCAGAGCTGTTGATTTTAGGTCTTGTTTGTCAATTAGAAGCTGTTGTTTCGATTAGCGATAACACTATTTAATCTGCTCAGCCTAACAGTATGAGAAGAACCTCTGAAAGTTTGCCTGAATAACTTTCTATCCAAGATCATCCATCTTTGATGTATCTCTAGCTCCCGCTACTTTTCTCGAACGTCCAAATTGCCGAATTTGGTTTAAGAAAAATTCAGGTTCAAAATCTATGAAGAAAATAGCTTTTCTATTGGACACTAAAATTAGAAAACAAGAAACTAAGAAAAAGGTCGAGAGCAAAAACTCATTTCAAGAACGTAAATGTACTTTTTTTTAAAATTTTTTTGCTTACTTTTCTAGCAAGAGGAACCGTTTCAGTTTTCGGAAGAGAGATCTATCGACCAATTAGCAAGCTGTGATCTCTCTATCTGAATGTATGTGTTTGTGACATTTATTGGTGGACTTCGTGCGACTAAAATTATAGAATGTGTCCTCAGAACTGGGCCACAGTATGGCCCTGAATTCAAAAATAGAATGGCCATGTTTGACCAGCGAGATAAACCTGTGCTTGAACCAAAACATACAAAAGGCGTCTTGTCATCTTTTATTACATATGGCGGGCAAAAATGTTAGATATGATACAGGAAAATCAGATTTTTTATCGTGAACCAGAATAATATTTAAAAATAAGAAAAAAAAACAGTTCTTTAATTTCACTCCAAAATCCCAGAATTAAAAATCTATGTAACAAATTTCTCGTTCGAAAAAAATGAGTAAAAGATAATATTAAAAAGTATAAAAGATGACTAGCTAATTTAATATCGAATATAAAACCATTTTACAGCTGATGCAAAATTACACGGTGAGCTAATTGTAATAAAAAGCTGTTTGCGAAATTTATTTTGTATATAATTTAATGCAGTTAATATCACAACAAACTATGTAAATAGAATAAACAAATGTACATATGGGTTTAATTTTTACATCTTAATTATTATCCAGGTAGGTTTAAATTTAATGTTTATGCGCATTTTTTGTCTCTAATGAGGTGCATTCACCTAACAATTCTCAATTTAAAGTAGATCGGGTCAAACTCAAACTCACTTACCATAACTTGTATTTATTCTGACTGAGTGAACAAAGGAATTGTCCTCACATTGAAGATAGTCTGAGTTAGAGAGTGTTTTAACTGTGCCAACACATTTGCGACCCAAAATCCACGGGGTAACATGTGGAAAAAACAGGTGTGAGCATAGACGAGACCTAGGCTCGAAACGGGGTCGAAATTGAGTGCGTTGATGAATTTCATTTCTCATTTTCATCTTTTTTAAATTCATATTTTTCATCTTTTTCTTTTCTGAACTTGAACATGAGTTTCAATTGGAAAACCAAAATTCTAGTTGATATTGAAAAATGGATTTTTTTATCAAAGGTTATGATTTTTATTTCAAATAGGACTCCAACCTAATAAATAGTCGTAACATTCAGGGTTTTGGCCTGATATACGAGCAGTCTTGTTCCCTCTTACGTATTACCCGGAGATATTTGAAGTAGAAATTGTTTTGCAATGAATATTCAGTCAGACACGCGCCCATCTGACAATGGATCTATAGAAACCGTGAAAATGATCTGTTTATTTACTGACCGATCACTGAAAGTGCTTTCGAGTGTTTCTTTTTTTTTGAATTTCGGTTTTTGTTTTCCACGAAAAAATCTATACCCAGGGGGCGGATCTAGGATTGTCTCGAGACGAGGGGGCGGATTTTCAAAAATTTTGTCGATCTTTTTTACGTTGACTAAATTGATTATTTAAGCTCTCACAAAGCACTAAAAAGACCCTGTTTTGACTGAATGCTCTGCTCCTCAGATAAAACTTTTATAATTTTTAGGCACTTTTTTGAAGATTTTGACCAAAAAACTGCGTTTTTTCGGCGCGAGCTTCCCCCTCAAAATTAGTAAATAATGACGCCCAAGGCTTCTTTTGAAAAACTTTAGGGTCCTTCAGCTACAAATGAATATCTCATGTTAGCACAAAAGTGGGACCCTTTGGGTCGGCTGGGGGTCGAATCCCTGAGGGAGGGGGTGGTTGGGCGTCCGCAACCCTAAATCCACTGGTGCCTATACCAATAATAATTATCGAAATGTGTCGAGCAAAAAACTATATTAGATCCCTTTGGTTCGTGATTCCAAAAATTGTTTACTATTTCCATAAAAAATCTCTTTGTCAAAAAAATTGGTTTGTTTCAGAATTTTAGTTTCATTTTGAAAAAAACAATGCAAGTGAACAGGCTCAAAACAGAAGAATAAACATTTATTTAGGATTCCAAGATTTCAAGAATTCTTTAATCCAGTGAAATCAGTTTTTTGAGTTTTTAATCTGATTCTTGAAAATAAAAAAATTAAGAAAGTTTTTTTTTTGAAATTTTCAAAGTTATAATCTTTTCTATTAAGCTTTTGAACAATGTTGTCATTAATTCTGCCGTTAACTCTGACGAACTCACAAAAACGTGCCATGAACTTGAAAAAAAAACAGGAGAGCTACTGGACGGTTAAATTTTGCACCAAAAATAGTTGTTTAACGACATTAAAGAAATCAAATTTTAGCACGTTTAAAATTTCGGCCCGAAGTAACGCTACCCACTCAAATCGGCAAAAAAAGGAATTAAGTTCAGCTGGTAAACTGGAACAAACTATTCATTTTTCAGATTATCTGAAACGAGTGTTCTGCGCTAACAATACGCGATATTTTTTTCTGACCAGTAGTTTTACATTATTATCGATAATTTTTTCAATTTTTTTCAGGTTTAGAAAAAAATTTCGGCCAAACTGAAAATATTTGGCCTTTTTTACTGAACTGAAAATATTTCGCTTACTTTACTGTCCGTCAATTTAAGCACTTTCAATAAAAAGTTGTTTAAATTGCAAAAAAAAACAATTCAAAATTTTGGGTGGAGATAGTTCACTTGGACTATTTGCTGGAGGACTTGTTTACACGTTTACAGTCGAAAAACTCTTCAGCTGAATTATCTTTGACAATTAAAACCAATACGGCACTTCAACCTTCCGGATAGTTTGACTGCTTTGTAGTTTGCTAATGCCCAAAAAGTAATATCGCAGGCCCTAGATATTTTGCCACTTTTGAATCCGCATTGAACGAATTTCAGTAAGAACACAATTTTTAATCGTTGTACGCTAATATAATTATTGAAATTATTTTTGAAATGCAAGTCATAGATCATTTTCTATCGTAACAAAAACAAGATTTTTAGACATATTTGTGATTCGTTTAGTGAACTGATTGTTACAAGCATAGAGACCTCACTAAGTAATGAAAACCACTAGGAGCACATTGAGCTCAAAAATTCAAATGTTACGCGTTTAAAGAAGAAAGCTTCCTTAACTGAAACAAATTTGGCAATCAAAACCACTTCGACAACTTAAAAAACTGGATGACTTGACAGTTTGATAGTTAGCTGCTGTAGAGTTGCGCAGTTCCTAGACATCTTTAGACCCGCATAAACCGAAATACAGTAGGAACACGATTTTTTAATTAACTAACGCTAATTTAGCTGTTGAAACATTTTATGAAATTCACGTATAAAAGTTGAAACGTTAAATGCGGAGGATGAATAATGAATATGTTTGTTTGAAGATTCCACAAACTGATCCAGATTACGCAAATTTTGAGCGATAAGGCTTTTTTGTTACATTTTTGTGGAATTCAAGACAGCATAGAAGATCAAAAAAGCCAGCAATGCTGCAGTTTTCGAGCAAAATCTGTTTTCTACCTGTTGCAGAATTCCCTCAAATTTCACAAAAATTAGTTTTATAGGAAAATAAAAAATATTGATCAGTTACTAGGAGTATCGCGAATCTTTGTTACATCATTAAAGCATCTTAGCCTGCGCATAAAATTAATTGAGCGAAATGTCGGGTTCACTTCTTTTACGATCCAAAAAAGCTGAATCCTTTAAATTTCATTGTTTTTTTTTTCATTTAGTAGCAATACTGACATTCTTCATGACAAATTGCACTTGTCCTACATATAGCTTTTCTGCTATATGTTCGTGGAATACAACACAGCACAGAAGATCAAAAAAAGCTAAGCTAGCAATGCTGCAGTTTTCAGGTCAAATCTGTTTTCGAGCTTTTGCAGAATCCCCTCACAATTCACAAAAATTAGTTTGGCCGTTTCATAGGAAAACAAAAAATATTAATCAATTACTTGGAGTATTGCGAGTCTTTGTTACATCATTAAAGCATCTCAGCCTGCGCAAGAAATAAACTGTGCGAATCATGGGGCTCACTTCTCTACCGTTCAGTTCTATAGCCAATAAAAGTCAAAGTTTCAATTTTAAGTGACGCAAGCCAATTAAGAGGGACTAGCACTACCAGTCAATTTGAAAAAAAATGAACCATCTAACACGCCTAAACGTATAGAGCGGACGCATTTTAACTTGTATACGAAAAAGTTCATTAAAAACATCCGACTCTGCGCAAGTTCAAACCCTCTTAATTAATTGCTGTTCTCCTTCCCTACCTCTACGCTACAGATCAATGATGCCTTGAAGCTTAAGTGCTACTTGAATGATAATAGTCTATTTTAATATCCTTAGCATTGGCTGTACTTAATAGTTGGATCAAAATGAACATTTTGTCGCAACAATTGCATCGCAACAAAAAGAAAGTTCATACTATAACACAAACTATACATGTGTAAATATAGCGTTTTGTCCGTATTTTTGCTTAAAAAATCACAGCTTTACCAAAAATCACAAAAATTTGGATCAATAAAACTAAAAGTTGTTTTTTATTTGGTTACGTTGGGCCGCATAACAAAGACCCAAAGCTTTCAGGCAGTAAGTTGAAATCGAAAGTTAAATCGGACGCTCAAAAAGCATATCATAACCTTCGCACTCAATCTAGACTACGTTGATTCCTCGCGGCAATTTTACGTTCTTCTATACTTTCAAGTCGTGCTCAAAAACAGTCATTGATCGATAAATTATCCAAAATACAAACAAATTTATGATTTCATCAATTAACGAATTAAATCCAAATTAAATTAGACGTCTCTCAATATAGAAACTTGTTCTGATAAATAGTTTTTCCCCTGTAATTTCTGTCTTAAAGAACAACATCGTTATTCGATCTGCTTCCATTAGGCGTGTTATTGTTATTGCCAACATTGTTCAGGTAGGAGTGTGAATGAGACAGAGGGTGATGGTGTTGGGATGACGTCATACTATTCTGGTGATGATGGTGTGACGTCACAGGGAGTGCCACCGGGTGTTTGCTCAGAACTAGTTCCAGTTCCTGGTAGTTGTTCAATCGCTCTACTTCTATATCTCGCCTTAGACGAGTGTTCGGCATCTTTCTGATTCTTTCAATATGCACTGGGTACTCCAAGCCCAGTTCTTGGCAGGAAATTTCCAGAAACCCCTTTAAAAGAATACAAATGTAACAAACAAAGACATAGTTAACCAAATAGTGAGCTCCCATACGCGTTATGAAAGCACAAAATAAATTAGGATTACACTGGAGTACAATTCCTGAAACTGAAATTTAAGTATTAACACAGAGTCGAGGCGCAGCTTCGCACCCCTGTCGATACACCAACCCCCTTCCAGACATAAAAAAATAGTCGATTAAATGACGAAAACAACTAGGTGAACCAAAACTTTTTCGGCTAGGAGCCCCCAGCTATAGGATGTACGTGTTTGATATTGAATGAAATTGCTATACTGATGCAGCACGAAAAAAGTGATTTCAAATATTGGACTTCGTTTTTTCTCTACTAAAACAAAAGAGAAGAGTAAAAAAAACTTAAGATTAAAGAGTCACCGCTTCTGCAGGAACAATTATCGCAACGGGCTCTTTAAACTAAACTTTTCAACGCAGATTTGACTGTTAAAATTTTTAAAAATTGAAAAAGTTTCTAAAAACGGTCAAAACCTCTAAAAACGGTCAAAAGACTTCCCAAAATCCATAAACTTTTTCTGCAAGAAGCAACTTGTGGCCGCTTAAGCAGAGATTCCCAAAACCTGGTTTCTCGGTTGAACACAACCTGAGAATTGGCACGGTAATTTTCGCGTAAGGTCAAAAACTTTCAAAACTTTGACTTGTTTGAAGGCCATAACTTTTTCCTTAATTAAACTACACATAGTCATTTATAAAGGTAGGCTTTCAATTACCTGTTGTTTCGAGGTTTGTTCTCGATAAAAATAAAAAAACTAAAAAAATAAACGAAACGCCAAAAATCAAAATTTTAACTTTTCCGAGGGCCATAACTTTTAGCGTCAGAATAAATTGGGCGCAGTCTCATAAGCATTCCTACAACCCGTTCTTTGAATTGAACCCAAAATCTCAGATATGGCAGGGTAGTTTTTGAGAACATTCAAGTTTAAGAAACGGTCAAAAAATCAAAAATTTAACTTTTCCGAGGCGATAACCTTTTGTGTAAAAAAAGTTTGTGAGTGGTCGTTAAAGCAGGAGAGTTTCCCACTACCCGTTATCTTCATTGGACCAGCAATATCAGATTTGAGAAATTAGTTTTTGAAAAAGTCAAAAAGATTCACAAAACGGTCAGAAATCAAAAAGAGCTATAATTTTAAGTGTAATGCACGGAGTATTTCAAAATTGTTCGTATCATTGAAAACAAAAACCCAGATTTGAGAGTGGTTTTCGAGGAAGCAAAAAAATCAAAAATATGGGTCAAATACTCTCCCAGACTTTTCCCAAGCCTGTAGACAGAGGATTCAAGTAAAAAGAGACTCGAGCCATAGGGTAGTATACAGGGCCACAGGGGAGTAGGAGATCTTTCAATTGATATCCCTTTTTTGAAACAATTTTCCATAACGGAAAAAAGAAAAAAAAAACTAATCAACTTGAAAAATGCGGAAGGGAGTGTTCAAATAGTGCTTCCCTTGAGACGACCCAAAATCATGCCATTAAACCGATAAGAAACAGGCCAAAATAATTTGAGCCGAAGTTTTTTTGCATCAAAACAATAGAAAAAACAAAGAAGGAAATACGAATCCAAGTAAGTAAAATTAGTTGGAGTAAATCTTAAGGTAACAATAAAAAAAACAAATTGTTAACCCGAAAACAAGTCTATATTACGGTTTGATAACGCTTGCTAATCGCAAGCCGAAATTGAGCACTGTTAACGTTGTATCGAGCTACAAAATTTGTCAGAAAATCGAATTACAATAGATATTCACCCATTAAGCTAAAATTAATATACGAATTTCTCCACAGGGTCCACCCTTTGATTCTTCAAGACAGCAATTTTGGCTGACATACCCTTAATTTTTTTCTTAAGGCGCCATTATATACTTTTTTGAGAAGGGAGTGCTTGTTTTTTTATAATTATACGGGAAATCAATTTGGTCTATTTAAAAAAAAAAAGTAAGCTTTCCAATCAATAAGCTAAGTAGAGCGACGCAAAATAGATTCCCAATTCACCAAGATGCATTTTAAACACAGAGGCGAAGCTGCGCTTCGCAAACACTATCGAGAACGCGACAAAACAGCAGCTTTATAAAGTAAAATAAGAAAAGATAGAAATAAGCCTCGAATAAGTAAAACTTTGCTACGTAAGGGCTCGGAACCTATGACCTCCATAATTGGAATCTCACGCCCAGCCCTCTCAGCCACGAACGCTTAGCAAGCGTCAAACACTCGTCGCAAAAAAAGCAGCTACATATGCTAACAAATTGCCAAAGCAGCAAAAGTGGCACCAAATACATATAGACACAATTTTGCAAGTAATAGTTTGATATATAACAAACTGAAGGCATTCAGACCAATTTAAACTGGAAAGCATAAAGCCACATTATGTATAAATTATTCTTTTCCAAAAATTGCGAGATCTATTGAGTTAGAAAATTTCGGAAACCGAGTTTTTATGATTGCTAAGTTGTTTGAAACAAATAGCTTTTTTTCGGTTCATTTGATGAATTTAAAATGCATCAACTGTGTTAACCTTTTACTATTCGAATGTCAAAGCACATGCTATCAAAAAGCCGTAATTGTGCCCCAAAAGTGACACCAATATCTGCAACTTAAGTTAGAAAAAAAAATCGTAGTAACACACTAACGCTCACTAAAGTTTGCTATTGAAAATAAACAAAAAAATCAAAAATGTCTGTAAATCGGAAAAATTGATCAAATTAGGGCAAACAAACTATATGAGTTTACATTGTACCAACCTGGATGGATAGTTTGTCCGAGGGCAGATCGATTTCCACGAAGTCTTTGTCGCACTGGTCACTTACTCGTACCTTCAGGATTCTGTAGCCCAATCCCCCTGTTCCGTTCTGCTGGCCGCCAACTCCAACTTGCTTCTGTCTGTCCATGTAAAATTGTACCTTAAACCCAAACCCGAAACTCTTTGTATTTCTTTCACTTTCCAATTTATATTTCTTTAATTTTTGACACTCTTTTCACAAAACTAACTTAAGAGAAAAATGTGTCAATAGGTTAACTTTTATTCCGCAGGGAATTTTGCGACTTTAAGACTATAACTGAAACTTAAATTAAATCACTTTTTATCATGCCATTTGCACATTTGGTAGCAAAAAACGCAATGTGCCTTCAATTTAGCAAAGAAATTTGAATTGAACTTAAAAAAAAAATTCAAATTTGCGCAAGAACAACTTTTTAAAAAATTTCAGAAAAAAAACAAAACCCAAACTGAAATTAAAGATAAATCACGTTGTTCATTAATACTAAACAAACTAAACCACCGTATATGAACAGCAGCGCCAACCCAAACATTCCAACAAAACTACACTAATTTCTTTGCTCAGATTAAGACAAGTCAGTTATCTTACACATGAAAGCAGCACTTCGCATCTAAAGGAAAAAATTGCAACCGAGAGCTTCAAATGCAGGAAAAAATAACCGGGCAGAAAAGTGTTATAAAACTCAACCATATCATAAAATAAATGGAAAAATAAACGCTTGCCTTGTAAAGGATTCGAACTCACCTCCAGATTTACAAAATAATGTTAATACAGCAGCACCGCTGGCTCTTAATTTCTACAAAGACTAGCCACCAATAAAGTGGATAAAAAACATGCGATTAATTTGCTATGCTATGCAGCTTAAGTGGTATATTAGTGAGCACCAATTTATGCGAGTTCGACACTATATTTTCAAATTTATAAAACCGTGTGCAAGATATTAAGTTTTTTAAACCTAACTCGATAAAAACGTTTGGCGTTTTAAGAGTAATCTTTAAAGTTTAAAAGTTCTCTTCTAATAGAGGATAGATGACTTTCTCAAATCAACGCAGCAGAAACACATTGTGCATATTCAGCTTTTTGGATAATGAAATATGTCTGTTAATACTACGTATAGAGCAGTATTTGTCTCAAATTACGGTTCTACCTTTTGGTTAAAAAATTTCGGCTCCAAAATTACGGTTCTCAAATTTCGGTTCTACATTTCTATCCACGTAGAAATGAAAAAATTATTTAGGACGACATTATAAATTTCCTTAAACCCCAGGGCATCAACCTAACATCCTCCGTAAAGATGCTAATTGTCCTATAATTTCACCCGACCTACTTGTATCTTGATTAACTTTCTTTAAACATAGTCAACTGAGTTGGAAAATAGTCAATGAACGCAATTAAACAGAAAAAAATAGATGCCCTTAAAGCTCTTTGAATTTCTAGGTGCCCTTAAAGCTCTTTGAATTTCTAGAACAATTTATGATTGGCACTATGTCAAAAAAATTGACCTAATTAGAGAAAACTGGATCATTAGGTAATTTTTTAAATTTCGCTGGAAAACCTGAAAAAAAAAATCACTTTCGAAATTAGAAGTCGAGCGCGTTTTTCGTGACCTTAAAACTTTCGCTGTTCGTTAGTGGAGTTTGCCTTCCTTTTCACAAAGAAAAAGAACTGAACTTTAAAATAAATCAGTCATAACATGACAAATTAAAATAAAGCGTGAAAAAACTTAAAGAATTTTTCCTGAATGAAAAACGAACAAAAACAAGAATAGCCGGTACCTGTGCAAGTAGCACAGAATATTCCGACATTAACGTAATTTAAAAACTACAACAACGTTTTTTTTAAAATTAATTTCACGTTTTTGCGTGTGGTGCGAAGCAAGGATCTGAAGGAAAAACTCTATTTTAGGCATTTTTGATATTCACAATAAAATAGGCATATTGAAAAACAGTTTATTTTACAAGTCTATATTACGGTTTGATAACGCTTGCTAATCGCAAGCCGAAATTGAGCACTGTTAACGTTGTATCGAGCTACAAAATTTGTCAGAAAATCGAATTACAATAGATATTCACCCATTAAGCTAAAATTAATATACGAATTTCTCCACAGGGTCCACCCTTTGATTCTTCAAGACAGCAATTTTGGCTGACATACCCTTAATTTTTTTCTTAAGGCGCCATTATATACTTTTTTGAGAAGGGAGTGCTTGTTTTTTTATAATTATACGGGAAATCAATTTGGTCTATTTAAAAAAAAAAAGTAAGCTTTCCAATCAATAAGCTAAGTAGAGCGACGCAAAATAGATTCCCAATTCACCAAGATGCATTTTAAACACAGAGGCGAAGCTGCGCTTCGCAAACACTATCGAGAACGCGACAAAACAGCAGCTTTATAAAGTAAAATAAGAAAAGATAGAAATAAGCCTCGAATAAGTAAAACTTTGCTACGTAAGGGCTCGGAACCTATGACCTCCATAATTGGAATCTCACGCCCAGCCCTCTCAGCCACGAACGCTTAGCAAGCGTCAAACACTCGTCGCAAAAAAAGCAGCTACATATGCTAACAAATTGCCAAAGCAGCAAAAGTGGCACCAAATACATATAGACACAATTTTGCAAGTAATAGTTTGATATATAACAAACTGAAGGCATTCAGACTAATTTAAACTGGAAAGCATAAAGCCACATTATGTATAAATTATTCTTTTCCAAAAATTGCGAGATCTATTGAGTTAGAAAATTTCGGAAACCGAGTTTTTATGATTGCTAAGTTGTTTGAAACAAATAGCTTTTTTTCGGTTCATTTGATGAATTTAAAATGCATCAACTGTGTTAACCTTTTACTATTCGAATGTCAAAGCACATGCTATCAAAAAGCCGTAATTGTGCCCCAAAAGTGACACCAATATCTGCAACTTAAGTTAGAAAAAAAAATCGTAGTAACACACTAACGCTCACTAAAGTTTGCTATTGAAAATAAACAAAAAAATCAAAAATGTCTGTAAATCGGAAAAATTGATCAAATTAGGGCAAACAAACTATATGAGTTTACATTGTACCAACCTGGATGGATAGTTTGTCCGAGGGCAGATCGATTTCCACGAAGTCTTTGTCGCACTGGTCACTTACTCGTACCTTCAGGATTCTGTAGCCCAATCCCCCTGTTCCGTTCTGCTGGCCGCCAACTCCAACTTGCTTCTGTCTGTCCATGTAAAATTGTACCTTAAACCCAAACCCGAAACTCTTTGTATTTCTTTCACTTTCCAATTTATATTTCTTTAATTTTTGACACTCTTTTCACAAAACTAACTTAAGAGAAAAATGTGTCAATAGGTTAACTTTTATTCCGCAGGGAATTTTGCGACTTTAAGACTATAACTGAAACTTAAATTAAATCACTTTTTATCATGCCATTTGCACATTTGGTAGCAAAAAACGCAATGTGCCTTCAATTTAGCAAAGAAATTTGAATTGAACTTAAAAAAAAAATTCAAATTTGCGCAAGAACAACTTTTTAAAAAATTTCAGAAAAAAAACAAAACCCAAACTGAAATTAAAGATAAATCACGTTGTTCATTAATACTAAACAAACTAAACCACCGTATATGAACAGCAGCGCCAACCCAAACATTCCAACAAAACTACACTAATTTCTTTGCTCAGATTAAGACAAGTCAGTTATCTTACACATGAAAGCAGCACTTCGCATCTAAAGGAAAAAATTGCAACCGAGAGCTTCAAATGCAGGAAAAAATAACCGGGCAGAAAAGTGTTATAAAACTCAACCATATCATAAAATAAATGGAAAAATAAACGCTTGCCTTGTAAAGGATTCGAACTCACCTCCAGATTTACAAAATAATGTTAATACAGCAGCACCGCTGGCTCTTAATTTCTACAAAGACTAGCCACCAATAAAGTGGATAAAAAACATGCGATTAATTTGCTATGCTATGCAGCTTAAGTGGTATATTAGTGAGCACCAATTTATGCGAGTTCGACACTATATTTTCAAATTTATAAAACCGTGTGCAAGATATTAAGTTTTTTAAACCTAACTCGATAAAAACGTTTGGCGTTTTAAGAGTAATCTTTAAAGTTTAAAAGTTCTCTTCTAATAGAGGATAGATGACTTTCTCAAATCAACGCAGCAGAAACACATTGTGCATATTCAGCTTTTTGGATAATGAAATATGTCTGTTAATACTACGTATAGAGCAGTATTTGTCTCAAATTACGGTTCTACCTTTTGGTTAAAAAATTTCGGCTCCAAAATTACGGTTCTCAAATTTCGGTTCTACATTTCTATCCACGTAGAAATGAAAAAATTATTTAGGACGACATTATAAATTTCCTTAAACCCCAGGGCATCAACCTAACATCCTCCGTAAAGATGCTAATTGTCCTATAATTTCACCCGACCTACTTGTATCTTGATTAACTTTCTTTAAACATAGTCAACTGAGTTGGAAAATAGTCAATGAACGCAATTAAACAGAAAAAAATAGATGCCCTTAAAGCTCTTTGAATTTCTAGGTGCCCTTAAAGCTCTTTGAATTTCTAGAACAATTTATGATTGGCACTATGTCAAAAAAATTGACCTAATTAGAGAAAACTGGATCATTAGGTAATTTTTTAAATTTCGCTGGAAAACCTGAAAAAAAAAATCACTTTCGAAATTAGAAGTCGAGCGCGTTTTTCGTGACCTTAAAACTTTCGCTGTTCGTTAGTGGAGTTTGCCTTCCTTTTCACAAAGAAAAAGAACTGAACTTTAAAATAAATCAGTCATAACATGACAAATTAAAATAAAGCGTGAAAAAACTTAAAGAATTTTTCCTGAATGAAAAACGAACAAAAACAAGAATAGCCGGTACCTGTGCAAGTAGCACAGAATATTCCGACATTAACGTAATTTAAAAACTACAACAACGTTTTTTTTAAAATTAATTTCACGTTTTTGCGTGTGGTGCGAAGCAAGGATCTGAAGGAAAAACTCTATTTTAGGCATTTTTGATATTCACAATAAAATAGGCATATTGAAAAACAGTTTATTTTTGAAAAATCAATTCATAAAATAAATTTTTTTTAAAAATCGAAAAAAAAATTTGAGCTTAAAAAACTTAAGTTATAAGAATTTTCAGGACTTAAGACATCCATGGCTGATTTACTACTAGTCTGTGACTATCCTTCTATAATAGGCCAGCTCTCTCGTTTTACTCGCTCAAACTAAGACGAAAAATCAAAAATTTCAAACCTGTTTTTCTCGATACTGGGAAAAAAATTTGCGAAAGGGCTTTAATTTGATATATCACTCAACCCAGTCCGATGATTATTTGTGGTACCTGATTTTGCGTTAAGAAAATCTTTTAAGTGGTTGGAACAAAATCATCAAGATCTCGATAAGAGTATTTGCATAAAGACAGGACTCAAGTATGCACTTTGATAAAAACTAAAAGCTTTGAAACTTTTCCGAAATGGTTATGATAAAAATTTGGAATTTTTTTTTGCAAATTGTTGTTTTGTTCGTCCGGCTTTGAGCGGCGCTAAACGATAGCTTAGGAAATGAGTACCCTCGATAATCAATAGAAAATGCAATTTTTTGCCAACGTTTTTTTTTTTCAACCAATTTATCGAAAAACCAACAAAATAAAAATTCAAAAAAAAAAATTGGTTTTTTAAGGATTCTTCGTTTTCAAGACGAAGCTAAAAGAAGCTTCAAAACAAATAATCCTTGAGTAAAATTAAGACTTTCTGTCTTCTTTCCGTAATATGGTCCTGCCCGCTCGCTTTATCTGCTCGATATTAGACAAAAAAATTAAACCTTTCGACTATTTTTTGTGGTAACTGATTATGCGAGGAAAACAGAAACATAGCCAACAGACATCCGAAGAAAAATTAGACGGCCTTGAAGCTCTTTTTGAGTTTCTTATACAACTTATAATTGACATATTTTTGATAAAATCAACCCATTTTAAGAAAACTGGATCAATACGTAAGTTTTTTATTTTGCTGGGAAATCTGATAATTAAAAACCATTTCCGAAATAAGAAGTCGAACACGTTTTTTGTGACTTTAATTCTTTTCCTGTTCAATAGTGGAGTTTACCCTTTTTATAACAAAAAATGAACTAAATGTAAAAAGAGATCAAAAGTCACACCGTAAAAAAATGAATTTGAGCCTGAACAAATTTTAAGACTTTACCAAAAAAGCTATCACGACCTATATAAGAGTCTGAACTACGTTCATCGACTCTTAAAAAACTAAAACACACCAGAATACAAAGTTTATCCCCAGTTTCAGTGGTCGGGACAAAAACAGCGTACAAAACCAAGTTGAACCCGGAAAACATCCGGCATCTGGGACGACACAAAAATATAAATAAAAAAACAATTTTCCAAATTCGATCTGCGATTTTCAATAGCGGCATTGTTCTCAAAAAATCCTTTGCCCGTTTAGCCATCCTAAAAGATAACATCCCCTGTTTTTCTTTAATTTTGAGCTTTCAGACAAACATTTGGGACATAGTTCCAAAAAAATCACGAACATTTTGACCAACAAGTTGCATTTCTTTAGCGAGCTCTCTACTCTCACTATTAATATAACGTGCCATTAGGCAAAGCCAGCAAAAAATGGATGCCTTGAAATAGTACCAAAGGGGAGTATTTGTAGTAATGCAGTCTGCATACCCGATTTCCAATTTTTAATAAATTTAAGTTCCGTTATAAAGAAAAAGAAATCCAATTAATTTACCATTAGAGTAGTATTACCTCGGACGAAGGCGCTATTGGCATGCTCTCGTTACTGCTGAACAAATTCGAGCCCCCAGCTACGTTCAGAGCGGCACTGTTTCCGACCGGGAGGGGGGATGGCTGGTCGCTTACGTCATCACCCGTTGAGCTGAGGGAAATGTCTGGGTTAGTACTGTTAGCACTGGGCGGAAGGGTTTGTGTAATATTCCTTTGGTGCGTTATCCTCAGACCTGGTAAAGTTATGATGTGAACAAAATGCGGTGAAAATATTGTGAGTACAACACCGTTATACTGCTTTTTGCGGAATGAAGTAGAATAGATAGATATATGTAACTTGAGTTTTCAAAACGCAGCAAAATTATAGACTAAATGGGAAAAATAGAAGCTAGATTGATGAATTGATGCATTACGAACGCTTATTTTTAATCAGCGGGATCACCAGCACTATTAGGTTTTTTTATATATACACATTTTCAATTCTTAGCTTTATTTGAAGAATTCGCCTCTGAAATTTTTGTACAGCCAAAGAGACTTTTCCTGTGTAACTACAGAGCAGGTGCCTCAAGCTAAAAAAAAATTTGAGACAACAAAGAAAATTCAATAATCTTTTTGTCTGCGTGGTACATGTTCTGCTTTGCTTAAAACAAGTTAAATCCTGTTTGTTTGAGATCAAACTTCCTAGGCGAGCATCCAAAATCGATTACCATTTTCCGTGATAATCTAGTACAAACCCAAGTCCCCAAAACCCTAGAAATGTCTTTAGCAAACTAGTCTAAATTTAACTTCAACTTTAGCGGCTGTAATCTAAATAACACTTGAGTAAAACAGGCAAAAGGGCTACTGACCTGAATTGGGGAAAGTCGTGTTGTTATGAAGACCCACATTATTAGGGGCACTCAACAACTGGGGTGCAGAACTGTTCAAGGGCAATGAATGGCTTATATGTTGTCCTGGCACTCCATTGTTAGCAACTCCCCTCGAACCACTAGTTGACGAGGGGGTGGAGTTCTTGGAATTGGGTTTGGTCCAGGGGTAGGTGTAATCCTCTGAGTAAGAGCTAAGGGCGCTGGTTGGGGGTTTAACACGTGACATGTATGAAGGTACAAAACTTAATTGCTTCGAATTTTGACTTGATTGCGATAACGTTTCATTGCTTTCAGATTCAACGAATCCAGAATCATGTTCGGTAAAAGAAGCAACGCTTGAATAATTAGAAGCTGTTTCTGAATTAACTGAAAGCTTTGAATTTTTTGTATCATCTGCAGGCAAGTCAAGCTTCGCGTTTTCAAAATTTTGATTTGATGTTACTTTAGTCGGAGAAGATTTAGTCACTGAATAATTTGACACTGCGCATTTGGGTCGACTATCTGGTTGATTCGAGTTGTCAATTTTAATCTGCTTGGCTACATTTCCAGACGATGAGCTGGTAACTAAAAGATCAAGAAGGCGGCGGTCGTTTTTGGAAATGAGATCGACTGGTAGCTGCCCAGAGGCATTTGGGATGGTGCATGAAGCACCGTTAGCCAAAAGTAACTCGCAAATGTCCAGATAACCTCTTTTAGCAGCCCAGTGCAAGGCAGTCCATCCGTTCACTAAACATCAAAGTCTCTTCAGCTCACAGTGCTTGATTGAATTAAAATCACTAAACCTTTTTCAAATTTCAATGCCTCTTAAGCAATTGCAAATCAATTCAAAACGGTATAAGAATAGTAAGTGATTATGAATTGCTGTAAGATTTGAGATGGCGCCTGTTTCCAATGAACTACTTTATTAAATTCAGTCACGCTTGGGAAGTATTGAGCCGCTGTGATGAAAGAACCAGGTTAACACTTCATTAATTTAACAAAACCATCTCAGGGACCAACAAGATGGATAAATTAAGTCGCAATTGACAATCAGTCATATAAAGCCAAGCAATAACCAATTTTTTGACGTCACAGAAAGTTAGCCAGCTGAATGAAATAACTCTTAATCATACCCGTATTTTCATTATTTTCAGTTTGAGCACGAACTAAAATTTAACATGTAATCAGGCGAGTAATACATTAAATTCCAAGAAATGTTTAAAAAGATAGGGAGCGATCACAGGTAAAAAGAGAAATCTGTTCACTTTTAAGAGCCACTTTGTTTCTGAGCCACAGTTGGTCTCCTGACAAAAGAGGTTACATTTCAGGTAGGGAATCCCAATCAGCGAAATGGATTCCACTCATAGGCGGTAGCGGCGACAATGTGCCCATTTGGATAGGAGGTAAAATGAGAAATGGGGGGGGGGGGGGTTCTGGTGGATAGAAAAGGGGGACGGGCATTGGTAGCTAGGGAAAATAGGAGGACGAGGAATAATTAGAGCGACACAAGACGCCATTAACAACCTACATACTACTCTTTCTCTAATCATTTCAGAGTTGCTTTCATTTCTCTGCTGCAAAACACATCAACGACTCAAAACGGAAAACCTGAGCGGAAACGCAACCCTGCCTCTTCCAGGAGTCATTTTCTGATTAGAAGGAACAGCGGAGGACAACTCTCATTCACCATTGTCATTAAAGGTACGCGCACCAACAAACTACAAGAGATGCGTCAATGCAACGAATAAGATAGACACAATTCCATTTTTCCACAACTGACAAGTGACACAATTGTTTCTTGTTTTAGACAGACAATCCGTTTTTATTTCGTCATTAGGCGTGAAATTGATTTTCAAATACAATACAAACTTCATGTTCAGTTTTTGCGCTTACAGAAAAAAAGCTCGACGTGAACAGATAAAGTAAGCTCGAAAAAAAGTAAGCTCGAAATGAACAGACAGATCGAGGGGACGCACTCAAGAAACAGGAAAAAAAACATACTATAAAACGGAAAAGCAACTTGCATGACTTCTGAAAAACGTCAAGTTTCGTTTTTCAAATAAAACACAAATATGGCCGTGAAGTTCTTAGAATTTTAAGAAAAATTTATGATTTAAACTTTAAGAAATTGGATCTATAGGTAATTTTTCAATTCCGCTGGTCAATCTAAAAACTCAAATCCATTTTCGAAATAAGAGTCGTTCACGTTTTGTCCCGCCATTGCCGTTTTCGTAATTGGAGAGCGCAACATGCCTAGCTGTTGACAAATGAAGATTAATTGAACTAAAAACGCATATATAGATCGTGATAAGTTTTTTTTTTTAATTCAGGAAAATTTTCTCTAAGGCTATATTACGTTTCATGTTATATTACGGTACTTGCAACCTTTTCAAGTGTTCTTCGAAACGCACGCGCAAATAATATTATTTTTCACTCATCAAATGACGCAAATGAGACCAACATTCCAATGAAATATAGACAGAAAAACATAAACAAAACAATATTTTAAAAAAAATTGGTGTCGTTAAAGCAATAAACCAAATAAAAATTTTAAAAAACAAAAAAAAATTGGAGTTGGTAAACAAACAACGAACACAAAAAATATATATCGAATAGAACGGCTAAATTCAAAAATCAGTAACTGTTTTCTGCTAAACGCAGGTCGTGACCAGTAAAGTAGGGAAAAATTTCCCAAAAACAATATTTCTCGATTGAACAATTAATCTGACAATTGGCAAGTAATTTTCGAGTCTAAAAAATCTTCCAAAAACCGGTCCAATTTTCGAAACTTTCACTTGTTCAAAAGGCCATAACTTTTTTCGAGCAGAAACTGGTCGTAGCCTGTGATATCAGTTGCTGACAGAGCTGACATTTACGAGAGCCATAACTTTTAGTTTTAAAAAATTGGGGGTAGCCGCTTATGTAGAAGAGATTCGCACAATCTGTTAATTCGAGTGAACCCAAAAACCTAGGTTTGACCGGATAGTTCTCGAGAAAAGTCAAAAACAATTTGAAAACCGGAAGGCCATAATTTGGTTTTTTAAAAAAATTTGGGCGTCGTCGCATTAGTACAACCCGCTCTTTGGATTGAACCCCAAATTTCAGATATAGAAGGGCATTTTTCGGTCGAACTTACAAAGCGTAATAAAGCAAAAACATGTCTGGAAATATACTAGAAAAAGACTCCATTCGTTACTCTTTGAGTGGAAAACGTATACACAAAACTAACTCGAAAACTGGTAAAAATTTGAAAAACAAACATTCCTGAAGCAACCCAAAAAAATTTAGTGTTCTACAGACACAGAACTTGTTAGACAAAATTCACGAAGTGAAAGTTCTAGTCAGAAAAAACTATTGCAACTAATTTGGAAACATGTTATATTCGGAACCCACCACTTAGTGGCCAAACAGAACATCGAATAAGACAGTTTCGAACAGTTGTTTCGAATGCTATTCAAAAAGAAAAAAGAAGATGCCGAAAACCATAATTGCCAACGTTAAAACATAGCCAACAGACCGTTGGAAAAGAGTAAATGAATGCAAGAAAACAGAAAACAAAAAATGACTTGTAATTATATGGTTTTACAGCTCTTTGAATTTCAATAAATTTTTGCTTGAAACTTTTTTTTAGATAAAATTAGCTCAGACTGAGAAAACAATCAATGGGTAAAGCTTTTAATCTGCAGGTAAATCAGAAAATTAAAATTCACTTTTGAATCTAGAAGCAATCATATTTGCATGAAAATGTATGAAGCCCCATCTGTAAAATATCAGAGCGTTTTAAAACTTTTCCTACAAACCAAAAAAATCAATATGACCTATAATAGACCCTGAACAACTTTCATCGACTCTTCATTAGTTTTAAAAAAATTATCAAGCGGTAACTAAGCAGGCAATAACTGGGTAGTTACCTGTAGATTTGATTTGAATTTATTATGAAGCAGGTAACATCTCACATGCGAACATTGCATGAGTTGTTAACGGGAAAGGTCTACACTAACGCAAGGAAATCGATTGGAAATCAACTTTCTAATTTCGAAGACTACGATATAATTTTTCGAAGCTCTTTACAATACAGGGATCTTATATATTGAACCTTGAAATAACTAATGAATTAACGAAAAACGAAACAAATGGGTAGTTTTAATCCGCTGCAAATTCTGAAAATTTTGATCTTAGAAGTCATTCACATTTTTCAGGCCATTAGCACTTTGCCAATAGAAGAGGGTAATGAGCCTTCCTTTCAGCAACTGTATTTGAATTCAACTCGAAGGAAATCAAAAGTCAAGCCGCGAAATATACTACACAATCTAAATGAGTGATAGATCACTTTGTTCAGAAAAACTAACAGAAGCGAAGCTTCGCTGCGCAAAAATAATCTATTAAGTGCATTGAGAAAAAGTAGAAATAAGCCTCGAACTAATAAAAATTCGGATGCGATCTGCGTCCTAGATATTATGATTCTTCGCTCCAAACACTCGGCCACGCACGCTTAATACACCACAAAAATTAACCACATAAAAGCAGAAAACAGATGCTTTGAAAATTCCAATGCTAGATCGTGATTATAGCAGAAGTGCCACCAGATAAGTAAACACTTTCCACTTTCAATCAATACTTTTATTTGCGAGTAAGGTTAGAAAAAATAGAAGGTTCGTAGTAATACATTACGCTGACCGCGAGTGTAATCAAAGTTGAAACTGTAGTAAAAGTAAATTAGGTCAGCCTCCAATCAAGGTGTACCTAATTTAGTCTGATATTTAACAAATTCCTTTAAAATTTAATCACAGGGCTTTAATATGATACCATCTCGACCCTTTCACGAGGTAGTCAAAATCCATCGGAAAAACTTATCATATGCCATAGCTCCTCCTCTATTATAGAAACGATCGGAACAAAAAGCAGAATAGTTGAAATTCGAGGAAGCTTGCCAAAAAAATTGCTGGTCGGACTCAAACTACTTACTGAGCTTTGTCGACTCAAGCATGAACGTTAAATGTACGCCAGAACAAGCAGATTGAATTACAAGCTCTAATTTTGATTGCTTGAGCTTATTTTGACGTTTAAACAGCTTGAAGGAAATACAAGACTGCACGTAAGGCCAATTGAAAAGTTTTTTTTGGTTGAATAATTGACAAAATATTAGAGTAAAAAAAAAAAAACGTTTGTTTTTCATCCGTTCTCCATTTCATCCCCCGCACGCTATGTAAAATTTGAAACTTTTCACTGCCAAGTAGTTGGGACAAAAATTCCACTGTGGAATGCAGAAAGTTGTTCTCCAAGACTTAAACAGAATTTTTTATCTGACTTCAAAACTGATTTAATGCACATTTAAAGCCAAATCAAAATCTTTAAACCGAAAACCAGTAGGAAAAAAATAGAGGGCAAAGTAATTGGTCAGAAGCTCACCGGCAAAAATTACAGCCTGATTTTCCTACTGTTACCGAGGAGTGGACTAATTGAAACGATCGAAACAAAAATGAAAGTGTACCAAAATGATTAAACTCAAAAAAAAACAAAGAAAACTCCGGGAGATTAAGGATAATAATAAAATTTACCGCCCTCGTTTTGGTTGGCGAATGGCAATTAATACTAACGACCAGCAATAATTCAGGATGCGAGATAAATAAATGTAGATTAAAGCTACTTCAAGTCGTATAATTTCTCCTTAATGATTATTAAATATGCAAACAACCTCTCGGTATCGAAGTTCTCTTATCGCTTGATGATCAAAAAACCTAAAATATGCCTTTAATATTCACATAAATAGAACCGCTACGAAGGCCCTAAAAACTCTGTTGTTGTCAGAAGAGTTCATTTGCATTCTGCTGATGAATTTATTCGCCAGGTGAATGTAACAAGATTGACAGGGCATCAAAATTGTCACTTGAGCTCAATTCTAATGTATAAATAATGCTTAAAGAATAAAAGTGCACCGATTCCAGAGAAAAACACAGCAAAACAACCTTTTGAGCCAAAAAGGAAAAGAAAATTACCGATATAAATCAGAGTTTGTAGAAACTGACAAGACTTAAACAAAGCCACGATAAACAATGCTACATGATCTAATTGATAAACAATTTTAATCTGCTAGGAATGAAGAAATCTCTAATCTCTTTCTCAAACCAAATGGTTGTTTACCAAGTGCTAAAAAGCTAACGCAAGGACTTTTTATATTTAACACAAACAAGTCCTATGTTTGTGACCATGGATTATTTTTTATAACTTTCTCCGGTGCGATGCAAGAAACGACTTAGCAAACATGACAAAAAATGTAAGCCGCCAAATTAAAATTTCCACGGTAAAAAAAAATACATAACGCCATCTAACAACAGGGAATAAAATATTTTATATTCATCTTTAGTAGGTAAAATAAGTTTACCTGTGAGATGCTAAGGTATGGAAAGGCCGGCTGCTGGTTTACAACTGGAAGTCATCAATTATAGATTGGACAACAGTAAGTCGTTGGACGCGCTTAGATGTTAAAAGCCAAAGCGGCAATTGAAGGCACGTAAAAACAGAAACTACAAAGTCAAACTGTACCATAAAGTAGCATCAAAAGAGGAAAAAACAACTATCACCACCTTTCATAATTCATCCAACAAATAGATACCAAAAAAGGAAATGAAGAATGAAATTTTAATAAACTGATTTGTAAATAAAAATGAAATGCACATGGCAGTCCCGGACAAAATCTGACCCTTACTAACCACCATGACAGACCATTTTAAAACACAAAATGAACAAATATTTTTATAAAATTGCCGAGACCAGATCAACTGAAACAAAAAAAAACAAATTGAAGAGCTTAAAAAAATGTTTAGACACAGAGGCGATGCGAGCCTCCGCTCCATATATGCCAGTAAACACCTGTTTGCTCTCGTGCAGCCAGTCGTGCAAAAAAAGTCATGCAGCCAGAAAAAAAAACTGTCATCTTTTTCAAATTAAAATGAAGCTGCTCACTGCTCAAAAATGATATCAAAAAGCCAAAAAAAACAAAGGCTAATCGCAAGAGCAAACAGCTGATTGAAAAAAAACTTACAAGCAATTCAACACAAATATGGAGTCTCTGAGGGAAGTTGTGGATAAATTTTGCTTCCGATTTGGGGCGGTACTGATTCTGCCGCTGAAAAGGCGTCCATACTCCAGAACTTCATTATCTGAACTGATTTCACCAAAAGTATCCGCGACTACAAAAAAATGGATAAGATTTTGTACATAGTGCGACTATAAATCCAGCTGAAGCAAGCTCTGGTCCAATATTGCATCTTTCTGGAAAACTTTTCCAATAACACTCAACAAAACCAATATTTTCGACGACACTTTCTCGCGAGCAGTGTACTCCTCAATCCGAAAAGCCTGACCAGACAAAAAGATCAATTTTGCGCCAAAACGGAAAACTTCAACTTGGCAAAATTACCATCTCATCGCTAATAAAAACAGGAAGCCAAAAAAATCTAAAAAGGAATAAAGCCTGTGGCCCTGGTGAAAATGACCTCATCCACTTACAGTATCTCGGGCCACATAGGAAGTGAAATTTCTGAAATTCTCCCTGTTCGTGTATATAATGAAATGCCTCGAAGACGATTTTCCGGAACGTGCATACTATATTAGCTTGGAATCAAACAGCACGCGCAAACTGAAAGCAACTCTGTAAACTCCAGTCAACAGATTCAGTTCTTAACATTATTCAATACAGAAGAGACACCAAAGTAAACTTTTGGGTATGACTAACCTCGAGAGAACTAACTTTAGAGAAGAAAAGAAAGTATCACGTGATGCTAGGTGCCCACCCGCATAGCTCCGGATACTCACCCATTCTGAATAGCTATCTAAACAGGATTGACCCAAAAGTGGCTAATATATGCACTATTTGCAACCCAGAGCCGGATGATTCGCATGGCTTATACAACTGTCCCGGCAGACCGACAGATCTCCATATCCAAACTCTATCGACTGACCCCCTTCGTGTAGCTGAACACTTTCAGTTGACATAGCACGAATGAGCTGGAGAAATCCATTTAAAGAACTAAGCAACTTGACGGAAGATGCCGACCTCACAGCAAAAAGCGAGACCAATTCAGACGAGCCCAGTGTTAAAACGACGTTTAAGTACACCGCCCTAGTGTTATGCCCATCCTTTCCGGTTAAGGGCCAATAACACTGGACTAGGGACTAGATGTGACCACTATAAACCAAAAAAAAACTAACATCAAGATTCAACCAGGCCACAACTACAAAAATTGGGATGAAATTCAAACTGCCGACAAAATTCACTTCTGGAATTTTTTTTTGCAATTTAAGCTCAAGATGAAACATCACTGCATTAATAAACATATATAGATGCAAAAAAAACTAATAGGTATAGTTTAAAATAAACCCAATTTCAGCCATGCTGTGAGCACTGCTTGCTTCTTACGCGGCCAGGGTAAATATGCGATTTGAGAAAAAAAAATCATTTTTTGTTCTTCGCCTATTTTGGAGAAAAATATGTGCTAAGGATTCTGTGCTTTATTCACAGCAATCGGCTTACCCTTGTTGTTCCGACCATTGAAAATGGAAAGGAACTTTGTATTCGAGTGGTTTAGTTTTTTTAAATTTCCACGCAAAATCAAGTAGCACAAATAATCATCGGAAAGTGTTGAGTGAAATATCATATAAAAAACTTTAGAAAAATTTTTCTTTTGTGTCGAGAAAATTTCGTTCAAATTGTTCGATCAAACTTCGAGCGAGTAGAGTGAGCAAGCAGGCTTAAAATAGCCTATTTATGCTTTAATTAAACCATGGAAACTTTGAATTTTTTCGAGTAAAGATGGTTTATGGATTTGTTTACGCCATTTTGGGAATTAAAACCGTACGAAAAATTGTTTTCCAATTAGCTTACTTTATTATGACTTTTGAATATGCCTAAGCCCTAGAAACAACCTTTTTTGTATTTTTAAGACTGATCGGAACAATCAAAGCACAGTAACCGGCTATCCTAGTTGATTTAAAGATAAGTTTCAAAATTTTCAGACTTATTCCGATTATTGTTGGACAAAGTCGACAAGATCATCTGCTACACGAGCTTTTTTAAATTTAATAGACGAGAATTTTCGTATATTTTTTCTCGGTAAAATCATAGTCACAACTGAGTTGGCTTCTAAATAATTCCTCATCCAAACGACCGTTTCTCTACGATGTATGCGTGAACCCTCCCTCAGCCCACGGATATCACTGCATCACTGCATTAATAAACATATATAGATGCAAAAAAAACTAATAGGTATAGTTTAAAATAAACCCAATTTCAGCCATGCTGTGAGCACTGCTTGCTTCTTACGCGGCCAGGGTAAATATGCGATTTGAGAAAAAAAAATCATTTTTTGTTCTTCGCCTATTTTGGAGAAAAATCTGTGCTAAGGATTCTGTGCTTTATTCACAGCAATCGGCTTACCCTTGTTGTTCCGACCATTGAAAATGGAAAGGAACTTTGTATTCGAGTGGTTTAGTTTTTTTAAATTTCCACGCAAAATCAAGTAGCACAAATAATCATCGGAAAGTGTTGAGTGAAATATCATATAAAAAACTTTAGAAAAATTTTTCTTTCTGTCGAGAAAATTTCGTTCAAATTGTTCGATCAAACTTCGAGCGAGTAAAGTGAGCAAGCAGGCTTAAAATAGCCTATTTATGCTTTAATTAAACCATGGAAACTTTGAATTTTTTCGAGTAAAGATGGTTTATGGATTTGTTTACGCCATTTCGGGAATTAAAACCGTACGAAAAATTGTTTTCCAATTAGCTTACTTTATTATGACTTTTGAATATGCCTAAGCCCTAGAAACAACCTTTTTTGTATTTTTAAGACTGATCGGAACAATCAAAGCACAGTAACCGGCTATCCTAGTTGATTTAAAGATAAGTTTCAAAATTTTCAGACTTATTCCGATTATTGTTGGACAAAGTCGACAAGATCATCTGCTACACGAGCTTTTTTAAATTTAATAGACGAGAATTTTCGTATATTTTTTCTCGGTAAAATCATAGTCACAACTGAGTTGGCTTCTAAATAATTCCTCATCCAAACGACCGTTTCTCTACGATGTATGCGTGAACCCTCCCTCAGCCCACGGATATGCCCTGAATAATACGTATATTGATGATGGCTCGGTAGTTGCATAATTTCCAGCACCAGCATATTTCCAGCATGCTTAGTGAAATCGGTAGTTGCACCAATTTCACTAAGCATGCTGGAAATATGCTGGAGATTAGCCTTAACGCCTTAGAAAAGATACCTATGAGAGTTGAGCCTATGCACTCTCGATATTGTCTTTTGCTTTATCCGCATCCATGGCAAAACGAATAGCTAAAACTTCAAAAAAGTCAATTAAGACAAAAGTAGCAAGGTACAAATATACAAGCGAAAAAGTTGGAAGGAGTTGATAGGAGAGGAAAAGTTGAAGTTAAGTATATGTTGGAAAGAGGAAGAAGACCCGGAGATGAAAAGAGATCAATCAGTTTCTTGGAGAGATTCAAGTACGCAGCTAGCGTTTCCGCGTTGTACACATGGCTAAAATGATGTCGCTTCCATTGCAAAAAAAAATTGCTACGCAGGTTTGCCGAAAGTTGCCGCACACTATCACAAGTTAGACTGACAAACCTTTGTTCTGAGAGTTGATGTCAACTTCTTGAAGGGACAGAAGATTTTCCACTTTGTGTACATCGCCAAAACAACAGTATTCCCGCAAAGTTTCACCATCGTCAAATTTCTTAATAAGCTCTCTCATAGTTCCTGAAATTGCAAGTTTCTAAAACTCCTTCCTGCAGATTATGTACAGTTACAAAACAAAAAGAATAAAGCCAAATGAAATTATTTTCAAATGTAAAAGTGTAGTTCAAGATGATTTCTGTAGTGCTCTATAAGCTTTTTCTCTTCTTTAATTTAGTTTTTTATCGATGATTTTTCAGATTCAATAACAAATTTTTACTGCTTCCTTTTCGCAGATGATCATAGATTTTTTCTTCTACATACTTCAGTCTCATTGGTAGATAAAGTCAATTAAGACGGTCAGAAAATAAAAGTAGCACGATACAAATTTACAAGCGAAAAAGTTGATAGGACAGGAAAAGTTGAAGTTAAGTATATGTTGGAAAGAGGAAGAAGACCCGGAGATGAAAAGAGATCAATCCGTTTCTTGGAGAGATCAAGTACACAGCTAGCGTTTCCGCGTTGTATACAGATAGCAAAATAGTTGTCTCATTCAAAATAACAAAAAAAAAACAGCGACAAACTCATACTTAATATAAAAGCTATGTTGTTGTTGTTGTTGTAAGCCCCAAACATTAATCAGCGCGGGATAACATTGTGACAAGAGTTACTGACAGGCGAAACGCCAGGAGCAGGTGTTTTGAATGTCGAAATTGTTATCCCCACAACTTCGACAGTCGAGATTTCAGTCCACGAATCGATGAGAGTTTACATGGTTAGGTAGCATGTTGCAGAATCTTGGAACTCGATGCCAGAAATTAGCTCTACTGTTGTCCAACCGCATTTTTTTCAAACTATAGTGTACAGTAGCAGACGTCCTGGTAGCATACAATGATGCTTGTGTTGATGACAGGTAATGATCTAAGTTTATCAATCGCCATTGGTAAGGCGAGAGAAAAATACTAAATCGACACATACTCATATCAAATGTCCAACATCAAAGTTTCAAATTCCTTAGAAGAAAAGTTCCTGCGAATTAAAACACGCAGGAAGCTTCTTTATCAAGGCATTATTTAATCAGTATCATTACTTCGGGTGTTCTGTTTGATCAGCTTCGCATAGCGTCTCCAGAAACTTGAAACATTTCAGGTTCAGGTTGAGGAAAACTAGACATACCTGAAACTACCTACAGGTCAGGAAGTGAAACCAGGTATATCAGACACCGATTACCGATACATAGCTGAAAGATTCTGGTATTGTGAAAACTCCATTGTGACAAAAAAGAGGTAAGCCCGCAAGCGAGGAGCTGTTCCGGCAATAAATTGATGATGTAGTGAGGAGAGTTATTGTTGGCCCTCAGAAAGTCCTCTGAGCTGCCGATAGACTTCACCCCCTTTTATAGTTCACTAATGAAACACCAGATGCACTAAAAATCTTTCTTACCTAGGTTTAGAATTACCAGCGAAAAGAAACGGAGAGAAAGCTGTGGATGATATCAAAAAGCAACAGATACAATTCACATCCTCGTTTTCAGAAGTTGTTCCCCCTTCACTATTAATGAGTTGTAACATTCACCCGGAAAGTACATTATCGCAAAAAAAAAAACGACGAAAAAGCTTGACACTAAAACCCCTCTCCTCTCGATTATTATAAAAATGAAGAAAAATGTTTCAAACTGCACGAACGTTACGTTTCGGAAGGCTTCATTTCCTTTCAAATGCTCGTTTGCAAATTCAAATTTTTGACTTTGCATAACCTAGTCACTTCTGTTTTCTTCTTTTTATATTTCTGACGATTAAATTGCTTATTTGAAGAAATGGGCAAAAATGGCAGGGTCAGTTTGGAGTGACAAAGGTGATTCGTAAAACTTCGTACAAATTAGCAGAGAATAGCAGATAAAGGGCGTCAAGATAGAAAAACGACTAGAAATTAGAATCCGAGAAGACGCTCCGAACTGTAAGGAATGTGCAGCTACAATCGTTGAAGAGAGAATCCCTCGAACTAGGAAAGCTAACGGAAGACGTTACCACCCTTCCCGATTGTACAGACGACGCTTCTTTACGAGGTTTCGAGAAGCTCGAGGTTTTCGGAGAGCAACTGTGAACATTATTTTAAACGAGTTTCAGCTAGGAGGTGAACATCTAATTCATTCTCAGACAATGAGAAGCTAGGAGGTGAGGGAAAGGATCCATCCAACTTCGATGGATAGCATGACTATATCTACTGAACAAAAATAAGAGTAACACGTAGTAGGGCTGATTTTAGGAGTGACCTCGTGGTCTGGAGCAGGGAATTCAAGTACTTAACTTTTGTTGGAATTGAGAATTGACAGGGTCACAGGAATTGGGAATTGGAATTGGAATTGAGTTTTTGGCTGGAATTGACATGAAATTGACATCAAAAATTGGCAAAATAAACTGAAATCTTGAAAAATGACTCGGTCTAAATCTTAATAAACGTAAAATGCTTGAATACAAACTTAAATTATATGATCAATCGTACTATTACAATTTAATAATCGATACAATATTTATGCTTAATAGAGGTAATAAAACTATATTAGAAATAAATATTAGAATTTCTAATTTAGAATAATTGTTGTGGCAACGGAAAATAGCCAGGAGTTGGATTGGAATTGATTTTTAGTCTCTCCAGGAATTGGAATTGGAATTAAATTACAAGGAATTGGAATTGACGCACCAGAATTGGAACCGGAGTTGAATTCCATGGTCTGGAGATACTGATACCCAGCCATGAGGTCACCATTTTACATGTACTTGAGTTAACTTGAGCGGTTTGGCCAATAGCTTTTCAGCAGTAATTATAATAATCATAATAAATTGAATTTAAGCGTAAACAACTCTAAGGGCCGATGGCCTATCAGTTAACAAGTCAGAGTCTGTAGTTGGTAGAGTTGATGCATGATGTACACCAACAGAATATCGTCCACGTACAGCTGTTCCCATGTTCGTGGAATGTTATGAAGTAATTCCTGTGAAAGTTTGTTAACCTCTGCTTCAAACCGGTGACTTCGAAAAAATCTACTAAGGAGCTAATCATGTTAGCTAACTTGGGTGCCCGATACCAAAAGTTCTTGCTGATTTTTGCGTAGATACATCATTTGCGAACGAAACATATTCATGCCAGTGAACTTCATAACGACTAGAGATATTGGAAGATAAAAACAACAAATCATGCATTTCAAGATACAGAGAAGCTGGAACTAACTTAAGTTTTGGAAGTCGTTTTTTGTAGTTGAACTCTGAACCCACAATCCACCGGGTGGCGGTCTGCTGCACATGTTCCACGACCCTGCACACCCTTGTTTGCGTATCAAACTTGGCTGCCGTAAGTCTTAATGGCCGAACATGAACGGGTACCCACTGAACAGATCAGACAGGTCGTTGACATATAAAAGAAATAGTGATGGACCAAGGAGAGATCCTTGGGGTACACCGCTTCTCACTGAGACGGGATCAGAAATGGAGCCATTAACTTTTACACATTGGCGTCGTCCAGAGAGATAACTATGTAGGATGTCGTAGAGTTTCCCACATTCACCAATACTACGTAGCTTCTGCAATAACAATTTGTGGCTGACTTTATCAAAAGCTTCTTCAAAGTCCACGTACAAAACATTAAGTTCTGTGATAGTTTCGTCTTCAGAGTTTCTATAAAGCTTATGCACAATCTCTAACATTTGCACAACAGTAGATCTCTTCCGTCTGAAACTATATTGCATTTGACTCAATATTTGTTCCACCTGCTTATAAAGAGCATCGAAGAGATTTTTTTCGAACACTTTCGAGACACAGTTCAGCAGAGCAATAGGACGGTAGTTTTTTTATATTACTTCGGTTACCACCTTTGTGCACCGGGGAGAATAGTGCTGTTTTCCAGGGCTCAGGAAACTTCCCTTTGTTTACACATGTCGAGAGAATTCGACTGAGAGACGGTGAGAGGACTGTCGCTAGGTTTTTTAACAGTCGATGGGGAATCGCGTCCGGTCCATGGCTTTTCGCTGGGTTTAATTTCTCTAAAATAGCACTCATGTTCTTTTCCGTAATATCCATCCGCCCAGTGAGATCCGGGTTTGAGATGTTACCAGGATAGTGAGCTGAGTCACCTTCCGAGAACATACTGGCAAAGTAGTTGTTGAATAGATTGGCTTTACTCAAGTCTGTTGACGCCCTTTGTAGGCCATTGAACACTGTGTGCAGTATGGGACATGGCTTTTGAACGCATATAGGTGGGTTAACTTTAGCAATGGTAGAGTCCAGCTGAATAAAATATGGAAGATGATCAGGGCAGGAGCTGCCATCCAACGAATAATCTTTGTGAAGCTTTAGGTTTGTTTCAGTACTAACGATACTGTTGCGGTTGAACGGTAGCACAAAATCTAGAGAATTTGATGATCCAGACTTTCAGAGCAATTGCTCAAGATTGATATCAACAAACAAGCCTAGAAGGCCTTGCTCATAGTCATCATTCGAATGACTGGTGTCCTAGTTTGCATCAGACAGATTGATATCGCCAACTATAATCAAGTCTGCAGTAGTTCCAGTTTCTTAGTAGTCAGCGCATCTATTAGGTATTTCACTTCCATGGTGCTCCAGCGATATGGACTTTCTGCAGGAGGATTGTAGGCAACATATATATTAAGTTTCAGTCTTGAGTCCAATTGTATGACTGCTGCAAAAGCCCCATTGAGCTTCAGTTCTATTAATTCGTATCCAATTCGGATCGTATGCCCAGGATAACTCCTCCATGTCGAGAATTGCCTTGGCATTTGGCTTCCGCTCACTGCGGTGTAGCTCGTATGCTGGAAAAAAGATTGTGTTATCTCTGACATGATGAGTTAACCAAGTTTCAGTAAGACAAATTATTTGTGAGGAATCATGTGCAGTCATTGAGTTGCAAAAGTCTGTCTCCGGTTCATTTCAAGAATACTTCGAACATTATAAACTAAGATTTCGATGTTGCACGGTCGGGTCTCGGCTAATCAGTTGTTTTGAACATCCATTTCTACCCAAAAATTGGCATCAAAATTCCCAAGTATCAGCTTTCTCATTCGAAGATGTTTGTTTTCTTCAACTCCATCGTTTTTAATTAATTCCTTTCTTTTTTAGAAGCTGTTTTTCTCGAAGGAAGTCTTCATTTGATAGTTCTGGACTGACGAAGACTTTTTCCGCGTATTCTTTAAGTTTGAAAGCAGATAACAAGACTAGTCTTTTATGCACAGCATTGGCCACCTTTATCAGTATAGTTTTTGTCTTGTTCTTTTCATACTTCCCAAGATGTCTAATGTCAGTAATTGAATTTTCAACAGCCATGTGGACTAATACTTTCTCAACTTCTTCCACATCGTGCTTATATCGCTCTTCAGGTTTGCCACTTTTCGATTCAGGCACGCCGCGGAAGCGAATTATTTCGTGGAGCGAGTGAGCTGTCGCGGTAGTGTAGTGGATACTACACTCGCCTTTTGTTCCAGAGGTCCGTGGTTCGAGCCCCAGCAGCGTCAGTTTTATTTCCGTTTCTCGATATCTGGTCGCCAGTCGTCACTCGATCAATCATCAACCTCCAGCCATTGTCATAAGAAACTATTTAATAAGTTTGGCTTCTTATTTCGACCCGATGTAATGAGAACCACATTGAACTTGCCATGAAAGGGACGGTTGAAAGTATGTGAGGCTCCATTTAGATGGTAGTCAGTCGTTTTAGAATCAATCTCTACTTTCTGTCGGTATGTACTTCCGGGCAAACAAAACATCAAAAAGGTCGTAAGGGATAAAGTACCACTATGACTAAAGATGATAAAGAAATTTCATACCAGCAGTAACAAATTGACGCGCCATTTATGTTGATTATTTAAAATTGAGATAGGTACACTTAAAATTTTTCAAGGAAAACCGAAATATAATCAACGCGTTGATAGAGTTCGCGACGCCAATAAATGTGTCGACCATTATTGAAATCCACTTCTGGTATAAATTATAATCATGTGGTTTATAAAGTAAAAAATAAGTGGGTCTGATTTACTTTTTATCCTTCTCTAATCTTTAACAGGTTTTAAAATAGGTTTTAATAGGCTTTAAAAGAAGCAAAAATAAGGTGGCAAAACGCTTGCTTATTTCTTTTTGTATCGTGTTCGTTCTTTCTTCAATTCTTTCCGAATAGCCTCTTCAGAATCCGACAAATTGAAAAAAAATTTAAGGTGAAGTTCAGTTTTTGTAAGACTTATACGTATAGTCAGTTTATGAACTTCTCTGTATGAATTTCTTCAATTCGATATACGTCTTCGCATTTCTGAAAACGTGCTTTAAATTTTTTTTCGTGAAAGTTCCACTTTTGATTTACAAAACCGATGTTTTTGTAGAAGACAATCATTAGCAACAGAGGAGTTTTGAAGGAAAATTCAAATGTTTCGGCTATAACTAGCATCATCTGGATAAACTTTTCTCACCTTATACACAAATGATCCAAGATTCAGAAAAAATAACAAACATGTCTAATTGATACAATTAAAATGTTCCGACCCATCAAAAGCACACAAATTACATGTTCATTGACAAAAACTTTCTTTTATTTCTGTGACTTTCGACCATAATGTACGAAAATGCAAAGTCGCAATTCGATATTTTATTGTGACATCGGAGTGGGAAGATTAACGTTAACGACGATTTTAACGAATAAGTGGTCTTAATCGTTCATTTTGACGAACGCGGAAGGGTTAATTTAGACGGTCATGTTAGTTTTCGAAAAAAAAGACACGTGACAACGTCAAAATTTAGCACCAACTGAAACGGCGAAAACACAACAACAGTTAGTCTCAGACAGAACAACAACAGAATTCGTGAAGAAAATTGTGATCGAGATTGAAGAAAACTTTACGAAGACCTATCCGAGTTGTAACAATTGTGCCGCTACAATCGCTACAACGCGAATCCCGAGAACAAGGAAGGGTTATGGGACGGCGTGTCCAGCCTTCCTGAAAGAAATTAGGACGTTATTTCCCCGGATTCCAGAACTCAAACTGTATTTTATAAACTTTTAGCTTACTGGAGATGTCCTGAGTTGAATTCAATTAACATCTAAATTCATTTTTAGATCATGAGAAGCTAGGAGTTAAGGGAAAGGGTTGATCCATCTTCGATGGAGATTATGATTCTTATCTACTGAACAAAAACAATAGTATTATAATAAATAAGTAATAGACCTGTTTTTAGGAGTCACCTGCTGGTCTGGGGATACTGAGACCCAGCCATGAGCTCACTATTTTTGCATATAATTAAGTTAATTAGAGCGTTCTGATCGAAGCCGGAAACAGTAACGTTTTTGTCGACCCGATGTTAGAAAGACCATCAAAAGAACTGGCTATGGCAGAGATGGTGAAAAGCATGTAGAGCTGTGTTTAGACGCTAGCCAGCCGTTTTCAAACCTAGCTTTATTTTCCGTCGATATGTGCTTTCGGGCAAATGTTACATTCCTGAGCAGTTTTTCTTTTCGTTTTTTTCCGTAAAAATTTTCAGAAGAGGGTATTTGCTTTTTAAACCTGGCATCTCATCCCAAATAACGGAAAAATTGTTTTAGCCCTGATTAATCAAGGACTAGAACTTTAGTGTTGGTTCCTGCTCCTAATTTTTTCGGACGTGTCGAATTTTAGCTTTTCCTCTAAATGTGCAAATCTTTTAGTGTTAGTAAATTATAGGTCTTATCAGTTTGGGCTTTTATCTCCGAAATCAACTCAGCAGTTCTACCAACCAAATCGTGAAAATGTTGTCCTTTTGGGAAGTCTCCTTTATGATGGTCATGAATCCTCTACTGTTTTTCCCACATACAAGGAGTTACATTCATTACGTATAAGTTTATACACAGTTTTGGTTTCAGTTCACGTGCAAAAAAAAACGTTTTGATGGATGGCAAATATTTTAGTTTTCTACCTTATAAATTCTTGATTCCCCGAAAACTTGAGTTGGAAACTTGAATTCTTGAATTCCCTGGAAATTTGATTTCTTCATTCCCCGGAAAATTGAATTATAGGGATTGCTTTGATTTTGTACTGTAAATTTATGGATGAATCTTTCAACCAGCTCTCGTTTCCCTTTTTTGATTCCGCTTATACAAATCTATTAAATTTAATAAATTATGAGTTTTCCTTCCCCCAAAAATTGAATTATAGGAATTGCCTCGATATTGTACTATAAAATGATGGATGAATCTTTCAACCAGCTTTCGTTTCCCTTTTTTGATTCCGCTTACACCAATCTTTTAGTTTTAGGAAACTATGGGGTTTCATTACGCGGAAACTTGAATCTTTCAACCAGCTCACCTACCCTTTTTTGATTCCGCGGATACAAATCTTTTAGTTTTAGTAAATTATAGGTCTTCATTCCACGGAAACTTGAATTGGAAACTTGAACTCTTGAATTCCCCGGAAACTTGAATTATACGGACTGCCTCGATATTCTTGAATTCCTCGGAAACTTGAATTCTAGGGATTGCCTCAAAAATTGATATTCTAGGGATTACCTCGAAACCAGAGCTGGTTGAAAGCTTCAAGTTTTCGGGGAATGAAGAATTCCCTAGAAACTTGAATTATAGGGACTGCCTCGATAATTTACTGTAAATTGATGGATGAGTCTTTCAACCAGCTCTGGTTCCCCGAAAATCCTCCGGAAACTTGAATTCTTCATTCCAAGTATATTTAGTTTTCTAATTTAGAAAATTCTTCATTCCCCGGATCTTTAAATTGGAAACTTGAAGTCTTGGATTCCCCGGAAACTTGAATTCTTCATTACCCGGAAACTTGAATTCTAGGGATTGCGTCAATATTCTTGAATTCTCCACAAACTTGAATTCTTTGTTCCCCGGAAACTTGAATGATAGGGATTGCCTCGAAATTGTACTGTAAAATGATGGATAATTTTTTCAACCAGCACTCGTTTCCCCAGAAATTCCCGAGACACTTGAATTCTTCCTTCCAAGTAAATTTAGTTTTCTAAGTTAGAAAACTCTTGATTCCCAGGAGACTTGAATTATAGGGATTGCCTCAATATTCTTGAATTTCCCGCAAATTTGAATTCTTTGTTCCCCGGAAACTTGAATTATAAGTTTTGCCTCGATATTGTACTGTAAAATGATGGATGAATTTTTCAACCAGCTCTCGTTTTCCCGTATTTTCCCCAGAATCTTGAATTTTTCATTCCAGGTATTTTTTTAGTTTTCTATTTTAGAAAATTCTTCATCCTGCGGAAAATTGAACGTTTCAACCAGCTCTCGTTTCCCTTTTTTCATTCCGCTTAACAAATTTTTTAGAGTTAGTATATTATGGGTCTTCATTCCCCGGAAAATTGAACCTTAGAGATTGCCTCAATATTGTACTGTAAATTGATGGATGAGTCTCTCAACCAGCTCTCGTTTCCCCGGAAATTTCCCGGAAATTTGAATTCTTCATTCCAAGTATATTTAGTTTTCTAATTTAGAAAATTCTTCATTCCCCGGAAATTTGAATTATAGGGATTACCTCAATTTTCTTAAATTCCCCGCAAATTTGAATTCTTCAATCTTCGGAAATTTGAATTATAAGGATTGCCTCGGTATTCTTGAATTCCCCGGAAACTTGAATTCAAGGGATTGCCTCGAAACTCGATATTCTAGGGATTGCCTCAAAACGAGAGCTGGTTGAAGGTTTCAAGTTTTCGGGGAATGAAGAATTCCTTAGAAACTTAAATTATAGGTTTTGCCTCAATATTGTACTGTAAATTGATGGATGAATCTTTCAACCAGCTCTCGTTTCCGTTTTTTGATTCCGCTTATACAAATCTTTTAGTGCTAGTAATTTATGGTTCTTGTCAGTTTGGGCTATTATTTCCGAATTCAACGCAGCAGTTCTACCAACCCAATCGTGTAAAGGTTGTCCTTTTGGGAAGTCCGCTTTGCGATGGTAATAAATCCTCGTTTGGCAGTACTGTTTGCTCCACAGACAAGGAGTTACATTCATTACGTATAAGCTTATACACAGTTTTGATTTCAGTTCACGTGCAAAAAGTTTTGTGGGATGGCAAGTATGTTTTTAGTTTTCTAGTTTAGAACACTATTAGTTCCCCGGAAATTTGAATTGGAAACTTGAATTCTTGAATTCGCCGAAAACTTGAATTCTTCATTCCCCCGAAACTTGAATTTTTCATTCCCCGGAAACTTGAATTATAGGGATTGCATCGTTATTGCTGAGTTCCCCGGAAACTTGAATTCTGCATTCCCCTGAATGTTGAATTTTAGGGATTGCCCCGATATTGTACTGTAAAACGATGGATGAATCTTTCAACCAGCTTTCGTTTCCACGGATATTCCCCGGAAACTTTAATTCTTCATTTCAAGTATGTTTTTAGTGTTCTAATTTAGAAAACTCTTCATTCCCCGGAAACTTGAATTGGAAACTTGAATTCTTTAATTCCCCGGAAAATTGAATTCTTCAATCCCCGGAAACTTGATTTATAAGGATTGCCTCGGTATTCTTGAATTCCCCGGAAACTTGAATTCTAGGGATTGCCTCGAAACTCGATTTTCTAGGGATTGCCTCGAAACGAGAGCTGGTTGAAAGGTTCAAGTTTCCGGG